CCCGAATAGCCAAAGCAGTCTTGAGGGAAACAAAAGGAGCTGGAGGCATCTGACTCCCTGACTTCAGACTATACTACAAAGCTACAATAATCAAGACAATATGGTACTGGCACAAAAACAGAAACATAGATCCATGGAACAAGATAGAAAGCCCAGAGATAAACCTATGCACCTATGGTCAACTAATCTATGACAACGGAGGCAAGGATATACAATGGAGAAAAGACAGTCTCTTCAATAAGTGGTGCTGAGAAAACTGGACAGCTACATGTAAAAGAATAAAATTAGAACACTCCCTAACACCACACACAAAAATAAACTCAAAATGGATTCGAGACCTAAATGTAAGACCGGAAACTATAAAACTCTTAGAGGAAAACATAGGAAGAACACTCCTTGACATACATCACAGCAAGATCTTTTTTGATCCACCTCCTAGAGTAGTGGAAATAAAAACAAAAATAAACAAATGGGAGCTAATGGAACTTCAAAGCTTTTGCACAGCAAAGGAAACCATAAACAAGACGAAAAGACAACCCTCAGAATGGGAGAAAATATTTGCAAATGAATCAATGGACAAAGGATTGATCTCCAATATATATAAACAGCTCATGCAGCTCAATATTAGAAAAACAAACAACCCAATCCAAAAATGGGCAGAAAACCTAAATAGACATTTCTCCAAAGAAGACATACAGATGGCCAAGAAGCACATGAAAAGCTGCTCAACATCACTAATTATTAGAGAAATGCAAGTCAAAACTACAATGAGGTATCACCTCACACCAGTTAGAATGGGCATCATAGAAAATGTACAAGCAATAAATGCTGGAGAGGGTGTGGAGAAAAGGGAACCTTCTTGCACAGTTTGTGGGAATGTAAATTGATACAGCCACTATGGAGAACAGTATGGAGGTCCCTTAAAAAACTAAAAATAGAATTACCGTATGATCCAGCAATCCCACTACTGGGCCTATACCCAGAGAAAACTAATTCAAAAGGACACATGCACCCCAATGTTCCTTGCAGCACTATTTACAATAGCCAGGTCATGGAAGCAACCTAAATGCCCATCAACAGACGAATGGATAAAGAAGATGTGGTACATATATACAATGGAATATTACTCAGCCATAAAAGGGACGAAACTGGGTCATTTGTTGAGACGTGGATGGATCTAGAGACTGTCATACAGAGTGAAGGAAGTCAGAAAGAGAAAAACAAATATCATATATTAACGCATATATGTGGAACCTAGAAAAATGGTACAGATGAACCGGTTTGCAGGGCAGAAATTGAGACACAGATGTAGAGAACAAACGTATGGACACCAAGCGGGGAAGTGGCAGGGGGTGTGGGTGGGGATGGGATGAATTGGGCGATTGGGATTGACATGTATATACTGATGTGTATAAAATTGATGACTAATAAGAACCTGCTGTATAAAAATAAAAATTAAAAAATAAAAATAAAAAAATAAAAAAATTAAAATTACATTGCTTCAAAGCACCACACTGCTCATAAGCACTCATCTGAATCTTTTATTTATGTAAGTATGTTGAAGATTATCCCAAGAGGATAAAATATTCAGGTTTTTTTGTGTTTTTTTTTCACCTTGATCAATATTTACCTTGGAAATGTTGGATAACTTGGGGCCATCCACTTAATTATTTTTTTTCATGTTTCAGTAAATCCTGTTCTATAAATGTTTCTTTCCTTTTCTTTCTTCTATGTAAATAACCCTTCTATTGTCAAGTTATTTCCCAACAGATCTATATTCAGAATTTCATAGTATGTAGGTTTTAGATAATATCCTGATTTTTAACTCTTTGATTATAAGGCCTAAAACCAATCATGGACTAGCAACATTTTCTTCCTCAAAAAAAGCATTGATCAATGTTCCAATCTAAAGTTCTAATTACCTATTTCAATCTTTGGAAAAGATGATATTTGATTCCAGAATATTCAGAATATGAGAGAAAATGATTAAAGCTATATCAGGGCCTATGTGTATGAATTATGCCAAATTCTTCTAACATTTTGTCACCACAGATGTGTTTGGACATTTTCAAAAGAATTTAGGAGATTGAGGTGATAGCCAGGTATAAAAGAGTAAGATTCTGGAATAGAAAAAACTGTTGGAGAAGCTTCTTTCTAAAGCATTCTTTGATGTTTTCCCAAAGTAAACTGCATAACTTTAGTAGGAAATATATATATATACATACTAAAATTGTCATTAGGTTATTTCAACTTGGTTAATTGTAAATGGCATATTTTTGATGCACATGAGTATTTAAGAATACTGCCACTTGGTTGCCTTTGTTTAGAATAAAAAGAGCGACAGAAATAGAAGTGTGTTTTGCTACAAGGATAGACCAGATATTTAAATAGTCACATGGGCTTTCTGCTGTACCGAGGAAGTCCACTTTGTGTGATGGACTCTAACTAGTGCAGCTACCTTATTGAGGCACCCAAAGCCAAGTACATGATTCAGAACAAATACAGACACTGCTAATCATACACATTTAGAATTCATTTTAGTGTCCTTTAAATGATACAATTATAAAACTATACCTTTCGTCCCCAAAACCCGCAGTGAGGAACTTTTGTCAAAAGGGTTTCTAAACTGACTGTAAAAGTCAAGTTTGGCTTAACCAATCTTTCATCAATATATGTATAGTTTTAAAAATAATTTCTAATATGTATTCATTAGGGCAACTATAATCTCTTACAGGACTGAATTGTATGCTTGACTTTCTTACCTAAATTTTTAGTTCAAGTTCACCTTTCATTCTGGTAGAATTTATCTAACTGCTCAGCCACCCCTCACAGTTGAAAGGAATTGTGTGCTGGAGCTAACTCCTTAAGAATTATAAGTTCAAATGAAAGAAGGCTTCCAATCAGCAAAGACAGAGCTTGGAGAACACAAACCAAGTAGAGAAGGCAGGATTCTTTCCCTTATGGATTTATACCAGTCTTCTTTGCATTAGCACTAGATATTCCTTGGTGAGTTGTTTGGTTGGTTGGTTTCTAAGCTGATCTACAGCTTAGAAATATATTAAGTACATTCAATATTGAATAGCTTGACAAATGACAGCCAGCATGGGTTTTCCCTTTTCTTGAGTCTTCTCCACAGTAAAAGCAAATGTGAACTGTGTTCCTAACAAAGGGAGGTAGGAAATGAGGGAGAAAAAAGCCTCTAAAATATGGTGATCAAAAAATAGAGGCAAGGTCCTTGTGTGGTCTCATTCATTTGCTATCTCTTCCTCCTAGTTCTCTGACCTATTTTGCTAGTAATGATTGGTTTTTCACACCTGGAGATCACAAAACCCTGGTGTGAGGTCCAGCCTGCGGAGTTATGTGTGAGTATCCAAGCTGCTCATTCATCAGGAGCTGAAGTTTTCCCTAGCTTAGTCAACTCTTGTCTCACCAATGAGGTGGCAGTTTTCAAGGGCCAGTAATAAGAGATGTATATTTTCACTATGCTTCACATAGATAAAGACAGAAGTCAGACACATACTATATTAAAATATCAGAAGAGTGCTGAGGTGCCAGTAACCAGAAAGTTCCTTTTTAACTTGGAAGCTAGTGTATGTTTCATACCAAAAAATTCCTCCAGTTCCCTGAAGTACCTTTAGTGAATTACCAGTGTATTAGCCTTGCTACCTCTTGGTAAGCATCCATCTGTCACAACAAATCCATACACTTCTTTACAGCCCTACAATCTGCATTTGGAAGAAGAGAGTCAGCTCTTCCAGAAGGATGGAAGAAGCCATGAGGAGGTTTTGGTAATAACAGTAACCTGATATTTTGAAACTCTAAGGTCCTGATTTTCAGCCTTCCACCTAACAGTAAAATTAAAGCTAGCCCCCAGTAATAAACTGATATTTCTTTAATCATATTATATAGATTGTGAGTGACTCAAAATCAGAAACCAGGTCTTGTTAATAGTGTGTCCATACACTAACATCACTGTTTAACACATAGTAGGTCTTTAATAATTATTGTTGAATTGAACTGAGTTTGCTGACACTCAGCACCAAAAATGATTTTTCAACTTGGATAATTTAGTGTACCTTTGCATTCTGCGGTTGCACTTCATTTAGCCAGCAGAATTTTATTTAGGAGACAGAGAATAAATTATACTGAAACTTTCTTTCAAGTGGAATTGAATTTACTTCACAAAATCATCATTTTTTAATCTGAGCATTCTACAAAGGGTGACCCTAATGAGAAGGAAAAAACACCACAGCATCCTTGAATATAGATCAAAAACTCAAGTCATCCATTGAAACAGGACCCTGTAGAGATTGGTGCTGTGATTGGAGATTACTATAATATTATCTTTCTTAGAAAGTAGGAAGTCTAATTACCTTCGTTTCTCACATTTGAGCCATACTACAAATGAGTTGTGTCCAGGTACAGAAAAAACAACAATATTTTATTTATAATCTTATTTTTAGCTTTTGATCTACAAATTCGGGTTCTAGATTTGTTTAAAAGATCATGGGTTTTATAGATGCTCATATGTAAATTAATCTATTGTTTGCTTACTTTTTGTTTTCCATTGTATGGTCCTCCTCATAAATACAGAACAGGTCATTACATGAAAAATATAAGATCTTGCATTTTTTCCTTGTTCTCTCTTAAAAATCTATTTCTAATATTGCATTCCCCATTGGACTACTTCATAAGGGCATGAGAGGGGGAAAAGAAAAGACAGAGGAAAAAAAAGAAAGACAAAAGAGACTGGATCTCACCACTAGAATTCACCATAAAAATCTCAAAGTGTAACAGAATTCTTACAAAATTTCCTAGACCAGTTCTTTAGGGAATTGAGATCTCCTATGAAAAATATGGCGATTGGGAAAGGCAGGGACAAGATGTGGGAAAATAGTAAATAAGTGCAGCAAAAACAGGTTCTGAGGAATACACATAATTTTGTCTGCTTTAGATCACAATAGAATTTTTAATAAATAAATTTCTTTTCTTTTTTGTTTTTTTTTTGTAAAGACACTTTTTTGAAACAGTAGATTTAGCCCAGTCATTTGTGTCATTTTTAATAAACTCTTTTTTTTTTGATTGTTTGTTTTTCATAACTGTAAATGTTTTAGATTTGAGTCTCTTGGACATTGTCTTTAGAGTTCATTCGGATCAATAACGGTTCATGCACTGAACTGTGTATTGAATTTATTGTGTTAACTGTTGTTGTGTGGTTGAAGGGAGATTTGTAAGAGTTGTAGTGGTTTAGGTGCTCATGCTCAATAGCAGGCATGGGCAGGTGGCTTTCCATGGGTGTGTCTCCTGTAATCTCATCATCCACATTAATGATTTCAACAGTCCTCGTTGGGGCATGATGGTTTTGCCGATGGTGCTGCTTCCTCATCTTGTAGAAAATGACCAGCATCACTGCAGCCATGAGTGTGATGGCCACAAAACAGCCAATGATGATTTTGGTAGTCTTCATGACTTCATCGATTCCTGGGATCCCACTGTTTATATCAGTCACGGGGATGGTGAAAGTTTTTTCTGTTGACCTTGTGCTCTGTGGCGTGAGAGAGGTGGTCACGTTGGTGGTCTCCCAGTCGATCACCGGAGTGGGACCCACATTGTTATCTGTGGTCCTTGCCTCATCCTGAGAAGGTTCCATAGTCTCTACTGTGACGGTTGAAAAGTACGAGAAGGGAGTAGTGTTTGCTGCGGTAACATTCAGGGTGGCCGAGGCAGTGGTATTTCCAACAGAATTACTCACCATACATGTGTACATGCCTGTATCTTGCACAGTTACATTCGTGAAGTTTAACGTCCCATCGCTGAGCACGGCTATCCGCACTTTGTACGCCCCATGTGTCATGACTGTTCCGTTTGGAGTAATCCAAGATACAGAAGTCAGGGACGTGGAGGCCCGACATTTCAGCTCAGCTGCCATGCCTTCAGTGACATTGAGGTCTGCTGGGGGCTCCACAATGACAGGAGCATAGCATGTGAAATAATTCTGGTCAAGCTCCCCAATGTACCTCCCTTTGAGATTGGGAGGCGTGTTACACCGGGCACAGCAAGCTGTGTTGGAGGGGGCCATGTCTTTTATCCACCAGCTGAGCCACAGTATGTCACAGTTACAGTTCCAGGGGTTGTGATGTAAGTGTATCCGTTCTAGATGATGCAAGGGTGTGAAGAGGTCATGAGGCAGTAATGTTAGATTGTTGTGTGCCAGGTTGATCTCCACCAGTGACTGAAGGTTATCAAAGGCATTCCGTTCAATCACTTGAATCTGGGACTGTATCATCCACAGTTTTTGAAGGTGCATCAACCCCTGGAAAGAGCCAGGCCTGATGGCAGACAGATGATTCCCAGAAAGATCCAGCTCATCTAGTTTTATGAGCGGCGTGAGGTTAGGGATTTCTCGGAGGTTGCACATGGCAAGGTTCAAATACCTCAAGTTGGACAGACCTTCAAAGGCACCTTCTGAGATATACGAAAGCCTTTTTAATTCCCCTAAGTCTAGTCGGCGCAAAGAAGGGATTCTGTTAAAAGCATAAGAAGGGATGCTTTCGATGGGGTTGTTTCGCAACCAGAGCTCCTTCAGTTTAGACAAATATACAAAAGCTCCATTTGGGATGGTCGTAAGACGATTGTCAAAGAGTTCCAGGGTGTTGAGGTTTGCCAGACCATTGAAGGCCCCAATTTCAATTGTTCTGATGTGATTCCTACTCAACTGTAGGATTTCCAGGTGCCTCAAGTGTTTGAAGCTATTCACTTTGATGATCTGGATTTGGTTCTCATGGAGGTTCAGCAGCCGGGTGTTGGTGGAGATGCCATCGGGAACCTCACGTAGGTTTTTCCGAACGCAAATCACCTTGCTGAACTGGTTGCTGCAGGAGCAGACGGAAGGGCAGGTTTGAGCCCGCACCAGACCAGCCACCACGAGAAGTTGAAGAGCCAGCAGCACCACAAGCAGGGGGTCAAATAAGGCCCTGTTAAACCTAGGGCCTATCATTATCTGCTGTGGATGTAAGGTCATCTTGTTCAACATTCATAATTTATCTGGTGCTGGTCCTTCTGGAGTTCTAATAATCTGCAATACAATGAGAGCAAAAAAGAGTATTAGATCTCCTCCAGATGTCTTTCTGGAGTCACTGTATGTAGTGTCATTTATTAAGCCATGTGGCTCATATTTATAGAGAAGTGTTTTTGTACTTTGAGTCAGCAGCCATCCACAGCCAATATTCCGTCAGATGTGCAATCACAGAGAAATGGAAGAATGAGGTAGAGGGCCTTACTGTAGTGTTTATCAACCAAGTCTGAGCGGAATGCATGAGGACATATGAAATGTACCCCACAATTAGGCTCAATGTCCAGACCAGATTGGAAAAGCTCAGAAAATAAAATTGGGGTGGGGGCTATACCAATAAACTAAAAATTCCCTCGCAAAATTATTAATACCTGGCATTTTGTTGAGGATTAGTCTATGTGCCAGGCACCACAGGCTATGGAGTTCACAAACAATCCTATCCAAGAATGGCTACATAACTTGCAGGGCTCAAGGCAAAATGAAAACGTGGGATGTCTTGTTAAAAATTATTAAGAATTTCAAATCAGTTACAGTAGGGCATGAAGCCAAGCATGGGCCCTTCTGAGTATGGGGCCCTTTGTAATTGCACAGGCTGCATGCCCTGATCCTTTCTTATCCTTACAGCATTCCTCTGAGGAAGGAACTGTTACAGACTCCATTTTCAAGATGAAGAAATTTAAAAGTAGGGGAAGTAACATGCATGCAGTCACATGGTTAGTTAGTACAGAACCAGGGCTTAGATGGTCAGCTCATCGGTCCAGGAGAAAATGACCTCAAGAACTCCATGAAAAAGTTTCTGCAAGAATGATGGCAAAAGCAAAATATTTTTCACAATTAATTTTGTTAAAATACCTTTCCTTTGAGGGTGCCCTGAGCTGTAAACACTGGCAACTTATCATATAGTTCCTGTGAAAATACACTGAAATAATGACATGCACAAATATACATAAATTTCTAGAGATGTTCATATACAAAAACTCATGACAACAGAGCCAACTGCTACCCATAGGTAGATATACCACAAATTAAATCATGCCCCATGAAACATAATGTTTATGCACAGAAAAAAATCTTAGTATTACTAACTGTATTATATATGTATTATGTCCCTACTCTTACTGATTTTAAGTAGATTTCTGGGAAGGAAATAAAACAACTCACTTCCTGCAACTCTTCTGGCACAAAGAGGAATTCCAAAGCTTGTGTTACCCAGTATAAACCCCACTCAACTGGCTTATCATGGATTGGGCACCTGTGTAATGACTTCTCCCAAATTTCTCATCTCAATAAACAGTGCCTCTTCTGTGAATCTCCTGGGAAGGAAAAAAAAATGTGGAGGCTCACCATATCCAATTCAAAAAGGCACTAAGACAATAATTCAGTATTTATTATGTGTCACCTTGGGCAGGTTACTTATCCTCTCCATGGCTCAATCTTACTTGCAAAATGGGAATGACATAATTACATAACCCTTAGTGTTACTGTCAGAATAAAATTAGTTAATGTTCATAAGGGCTTAGAATAATGCCTTCCATATGGAAAGAACTCAATAATATTAGATATTATTATTATTACTACTACTGTATTGTTGTTTCCCTTAGCCAGACATTTTGCTAAGTACTGAGCATACAAAGGTGAAGAATATAATCCTCATCCTTGAGGGAATTATAAATTATAATTCAGAAGGTAAGACAGATAGGCAAACAGATGAAACAAAATAATGTATGTTCATTGCTCTAAGGCCAAGACACATTGGTAGGAGGGAGCTGAAGTCAGAGTAACTCAATCTGTGCTGGTAAATCAGGAGATTTTCAAAGAGGAGGGTCACCTGATCTAGATTTTGTAAAAGAAATTGATAAAGAAAAGAAAGAAGAGCAGAGGGACCAGACTGAGCTAAGACAAGGAAACATGAAGGATGCTAGTACAACCAAAGCACCATAAAAATTCCTCTGTGGTGGGAGAACAGAAAGCCTGGGGAAGAGAATGGGAAAGAAGCTGGGATGAGATCAGGTCCAGACTGAAGAGTTGGTTACGCCAAACTTAAGAGTCCCCGTTTTATCCTACAGGCAACATATTCTGTTTATACAAAGAAATGCTATCATCAGCTTTGTTTTTAAGAATGATAATGTTAGATTAACAGGGAGACAGAAAAGTTTTGGAAGAAACCAGCAGCAAGGAGAAAAATTAGGAAGATCCTCCAGCTGCTCCAAGTGAGCCTTACAGAAAAGTCAATTCCAGGGACAAGTGGAGTTTTTTGGTCATCTCTTGCATGCCTACCATTCAAGGTCTTGAGGAGAGAAGGGCCGTCTGTCTCCTCTTTAGGAGTATAACCCTTCTACCAGTGGTGAGATTCGCAATGTTAATTAGCATTTGTAAATAACTACATCTTCATAGAGTACACAAGACAGAGAAGAGGCTCTTTTCCTATAAAAAGAGATTCTTCACTCAGTAAATGTATCTGCCATTAGCAGCCCTTAAATATACACCCACATTCACAGAACTGCAGAAAAGGACCTGAATCTCAAGAAGGTGAGGTTTAAAGTAAAAGATGCTTTCTGGCTTCAGAGGCTTGTTTTGGTCTCCTTCCCTATGGCAGTAAAGAAATTTGACCACTGGGTGCTGAGTTGTTACTCTTTCTTCCAGCCTTCTGTGGCAAACTGACTTGCTGCCTTTCTCCGGGCTCTTGCAGCTCTAGGTTGACTTTTCACACCATTCAGTACTATGATCATTTGTCCCTGGGTCTGTTTCCTGCACTACCTTTTGAGCTCCCTGAGGACAGTGGCCATGTCTCATGGTCTCTTCTTAGCCTCCTGACAACACAGTACCTGGCATAGTGATGTGTACCAATGTATTAATCATGCCTTTTATTTTCTGTATTTTCTGATGTTTTGATATGGGGCTTTGCTTATCCTGGAGAGACTGCCCCTCCAAGGGCTAGCTAATTCCTAGAGATAGTAAAGGACGGGCTCACAGGCATGCCCTTCATATTCAAGTCAACCATTAGGAAGCCAGTACCCCAACCATTTCCTTTATCAGTTTTTACAGGGCTCTTTACACTTGAGCCACTATCCCTCTGCCCTCATCATCCCAGGGCTAGATACCAGGCAACTGGGATAGCTCCTGTGTTCTAGAACCCACTGAAATTATTCATACCACAACAATGTGGCTGGCAGGCTTCTCACCCTCAGTCAGATTAGGGGTTTTCCTTCATTGTAAGTTTAAACACAACCTTAAAAACCTTTGTTGATTTCCATTTTAAGTAGAATCTTATTTAAATTGCCAGTGATCATGACCACTGAAAATTTGTCATTCATGTGATTCAGTATTTTCATTGCATATGTTCCCCTTTCCCCAAAACACACTTCTGAAGGTAAGTGGGAATTTTTAAAAAGAAAGAAAGAAAGAAAAAAGAACAGCACATAAAATCTCTAATATATTAATTGATAGACGCTTTTAGGATTGGGGTCATAGGGCCCTACTCCTCCATCCCTCCTCCCACCTCCCACCCCATGACTCTCTCTAGAATCCTAGGGTCTCTGGCAACAGAGGTCAAAATAACTGGTTGACTGGAAATCGCACAAAAGTGAAAAAGACACGTCCTTATTCTGCCATTTGCTACCTTTATCCCTTTAAAATATGAAATAACAAAGGCAGCCATGTCCAGTGGTCAGAGAAAAGGCTCATGAAGACTTTGAATTTATATGCCTGCTTGAACCCCCATGACCCTACAATTGGGAAAGTTACTTCACCTGTCTATAGCTTACTTTCCGCATTTGTAAAAGGGAAACAACAGAGCTACTTACTCAAAAGGCTTTTGTTAGCACTGTCACATAATACAGATAAAGTTACTGGCTCATAATAAGTAATAAATATTTACTACATTTTAAAATAAAAAGTGATGGGAGCTTCTTCCTCTTATATAAGATAGGAATAACACTAATACTTATTATTCAAAGTTGTGGTAAGGATGAATCGGAATGACCAGAAACATACTATCAGTAAATTATCAGAAACATATTATCAGTAAAACATACCGAAATATGACACATTGCTCTTAATCGTAGAGTATGTGCATCTCCCCGTTTTCAACCCCCGGGTTGTTTTATTTTCTATTTCTTGCTTACTTCAAGGTCTTTTTGCTATTGCAATTAATGAGATTGCCTGTAAATCAGTCATAAGTAACAATTTATGAATTATAGTTGGTTCAAAGCTAATTTATAACCTGCCGCAGATAAAGCTTGGTACATGCGCTGAATCGAGTAAACTACTATCAACAAAAGGTTTTCTATTTTAAAATCTAAATTATGTTACCTTCCATCAGAAGCCAGGTTTCAACATCTCTTTCAGAAGATGTTTTTATCACATCAAAAGGAAATCAATTTAAAGGTACGCACTTCCATTACGATGTCATCTCATAGCATTTATTTACAAATGGATCTGTGTGGGTTTTGAATTAAACTATAATACTTTTAGCCTTGTCCCAGAGGATATCCTGACTTTTTGTCAACAGACCTTTCTTCTTTCCTTACCCATGCTTCAGTGCACTGAAAGACACAGAAGGAACTGAAGGAGGGAGAGTAGCTAATGGGGATGATTTATTTAGCACAGTATCATTGCTAAGTCAGCATAGACTGTTGTCTAGACAATGGAACTAGTTTGCAAGCAAGGCGGGAGAAAGATACATTTAGTTAACCACAATCAGCCCTTCCATCTCAACAGACCACATATTCACAATCACATGTATCTGCAACAAACCTCCCTAAACATTGAGAAGCAAAACCCCACATTTAGAAAGGAGACTGAGACCTCCACACCATACCTCACCATCAACATCAAATTGACTTAACTCTGCCATGGTCTCTATCAGCTCTATCCTCTTCTGAAATTCTCCTGCCAAAACAGTTTCATTGTCCTTAGAGAAACTTGCCCAAAGATCTATCAACTCTTTCAGGGAAAGCATTAACAGAAGTCTGTGCTCTAGGACTTTTTGAATCTTCTGCTTC